AAAATAATTCTCCAGGCTCACCTCACCCCAAATACCAACGGCAAGAAGGATAGCACCAGTGATCAGAAGACGAAGGCGGACACTTAAAACAAGGAATGACTGATTTTGTCTGCAATCTCTGAAAAGGGGATGCCGTGATGTGTCTAAGACCCTGCACCACCACACCAGGGGATCAGAAGCCGGCAAGACTTGGAAACTGCTGAAACCGTCTGAGTGTCTACAGCTCTTAAGAGGACCTTTAAAGTGGCCAATCCCAAGTGCTAATTACCATCAGAAGTTAACACCAAGGTGTAAAAGAGAAGATGGTGACCCTTGGGAGGGCTGGAGGTATCATCTCAAAGGGCCTGGTGTTTAAAAAGTATGAGTTTGTGCTTCACTGCAGACTTCTGGTGTGGCACCGGAGGATAAGCACTGGACTGCTAACAAGTTTAGGGATTCAAATCCACCAGTTCCTCTTCCTTGGAAATCCTATACAGGGTTGCTATAAATTGGTACTGACTAGACAGCACTTAACAATAACAACAATAACAATGAACCTGAAGGTTGGTAGTTCAAACCCAGTAGCACAGTGGAAGAAAGGCATAGAGATCTGCTTCTATAAAGATTACAGCAAAACTACAGATAGAGTAGTTTTGCTCTGTATCACATGGTGTATGTGTGTGTGAAGAAAGAACGAGAGATTCATATACACAGCTAGCTTCATCTCTTTCTCTGTCTCTCTCTTCTGATTTTTTTTTTTTTTTTTTTAAATCTCTGTTTTCATCCTTTGACCTCTGCCTCTTTTGTACTTAGTCCTTTTGGGCACTTAATCGTTCCATTGTCAGTTCTGGCCACAGCCAGGCTAGGAATGGAGGCTTCATTCATTTATAGGAACGGAGGCTTCATTTTCTATCCTGCCTCCACCCTCCAATTAAAGTTGGTTCTTTGGTATCTTATTTCTACTTCCTTCAGGTGTGGCACAGAATAATCTCCAAACCTGGAACCTTCCAAGGGAGGCAGACCGGAAAGTTTTACAGTAAGTGGTCTCTTTGTTCTCTCTACTACTCTGTTCATATGGCTGTGTCTTGACTCCATTTTCTCTTTTGGTCTCTTAGCTTGGATCTTTGCTACCTTGTTGCTGTCCCCAGCCTCTACTTGGATAAAGCTCTGGAGAAAGATCATTTCCTATTCCTGCCTGTTCCCCTGGACTCTGGGAGTACCTACTGAGAAACTGGGTGAGGAAGGCTTTGAAAGAGGAGGATGACCCCCAAGCAGTCACCCCACAGCTTCTTCATTCAACTACCCATTACAGTCTACAACCACGCTCACCTTCTTTGTACAAAAACCACAGATGGGTCTTTCACTGTGGATATGTTTCCTTCCTTCTCCTGTTAGACTCAGCTTTAGCCTTTGCATTGAATCCTATTTCAATTCACAGTCTCAGTTCTCTCCTCTGATAGTCCTTTCTCTTTAATCTGCCACCTTTATTGAATCTCTTTCCCTAGCATTCAAATACATTCCATTTCCTCCCCTGTTAAAACAAAGAAAACCTTCTCCTTACTTGTTACTTCATGTTACCGCATTACCTCTCTGATACCTTTTATTGCCAAGCTTTCTAAAATACTTGTCTATATATATATTACCTCTAGTTCTTTAGTGCCACATTTTCTTAATTGAATTAATTTTTATGTTAGAAATCATGCTTAGAGTTATAAAAGTCAATTAATATTGAAAAGTTTATATATAAACATAGTAAATTCCCTGCTTCATCCTCCCAGGGACCTCTCAGAAATCTACTAGTAATGAGATTTGTTTCTTACACCTCTGCAGTTCTAAACAGAGAAAGTATGTATACTGCTACCTTTTTGATTAACCAATTTTAGGTTTTATTAGTTGTTGTTATTAAAATGCCATTGAGTGGATGCTGACTTATAGCTATCCTGCACAGGGTTTTCTAGGAGTAGCTGGTGGATTTCAATCACTAATTTTGTGGTTCACAGTCGAGTGCTTATCTTACAGCACCACCACAAGATTTTAAATCTCTCACGTAAATAAATATAAGTACTGTTGTTTTGTACTCATAGTAATTCTGTAATGTATACTGACTTTTGGCAAAAAAAATTTTTTTAGTAACGTTCTGTAATAACACTTAAAAATCATTAGTAACTAGACTGCACCCAACAAATTATAAAAGTAGTGCATCTTTCAGCCAATATCTTAATTTTTACACACAATACAAAACCTCCACAAAGCCATCATCTGCATGCAGATGAATGAATAAAAAAATAAAACCAAACCAATTATGTTTCCTACTATGAACTAGTTTTTGTCCCACTAAATCAGAAAGTTTCTGTCTAATATTGAGGGAAGGAAAATATTTTATTTACTGCTCTGCCAGTCCCATTTCCCTAGAAGTTTGACATAGGGCAAAGAAACTTATCCCACAGGTCTCAGCCAATAGCCTAAATAAATCTTTACTATCTTTCCAGAGGAAAAAAGTGTCTCCTCATCTCACTGCAAACTAGAAGTGTTTGTTGTTGTTAATTGCTGTCGACTTGGCTCCGACTCACAGTGACCCTGTATAGGATTTCTGAGTAGCAGCTGGTGGGTTTGAACCACTAACTTTGTGGTTCAAACCAAATTTGCGGCCCAGTGCTTATCTTACAGTGCCATATGCCTATGATATTCTTTTCGGAATTCCTCAATCCTGTTTAAGTGCCAAGTATTTAATGTCAGGCATTATTTAGGAACAAAGGAGCTCTGGTAGCGTAGTGGTTACGAATCGGGCTGCGAACCGCAAGGTCAGCGGTTCGAAACTACCAGTTTGCTCCGTGGGAGAAAGATGAGGCTTTCTACTCCCGTAAAGATTTACAGCCTCGGAAACCCTGTTCAGGGTCTCTATGGGTCGGAACCGACTCGACGGCACTTAACAACAACAACGTTCCAGAGGAAGAGCATTTCATTATACTTCTATTACAATTTTAGTTAGATCAAGTGTCTATGTTCACATCATTATTTCTATGCAAAGATTACTGACAATTGAGTAGTGCACTTTACTCTTATGTTTCCTTTCTTCTGTTCTGCTTTTCCTAGGGTTAGGAATTGCTTATTTTAGGTCCATTTATCTAGTACTTTTCTTGGCACTTCTTGCTAGTTTTTCCTGAAATTTCAGGTTAATCATATAAGCGAATCGATCTATCCCTTTCTTTTTTTCCTTCTTGGAGTCATTCTTTCTAGAGAAATCCATTCCCTGCAGGGCTTTCTAGGACTCTTTTTTTCTTCGTTTGGCTTTCTAGTTCATGGATCTCTCGTCTTTCTCCTTTGTTTGTTGTAGTTTTGGTAGAGGACATCCTTTAGTAATTTCAAATAACTTAAAGAAAATGGTCTAATGGCAAAGGGTGGTCCATTTTCATTAGAATTTGTCCCTCTTGACAAACTGTCCTGGTCTGAACTGCAGTGTTAGAAGAGAGAGAAGGGTTTCAGAAAGTGGGGTTTTGAGTCTGCTGGCCCCCTTTTCTCTTAGTGCCGCAATAGTTTATCCCTCTGTCTCTTCCTTTATTTCTCAACATCAATATATATAGGGAATGAGGTCAAGTTCTCCTCTGGTGAGCAATTGCTCTTCCTATTGCCTCAGAATGTGTGGGTGTTTCTGTTTCATAGCATCTTAGGAGGTTTTTAAAATCGATTCTAGGCCCTACCTAGGGCCTGGGGTCCAAAGGGTAGGTACCTGGGTGGTCATACCCATCTGTTTAATGCAACCCCCCTCCCCCCCCCAACAAAAGTGATCTATCAGGTTTGGGTGTAAGTTGACCCTGGCTTGGGTTGGGGAACTATTTGTTAGAATAAAGGACCTCTTCTACCTCAATCCCAGGCCTTTGTTTGTCAGGCATCAGGGAGATGAATCATGCCCCCTTCTTCCTCAGCTGCCCACATCGGAGTGGTCGTCTTGGAAGGTGCCAGTGTTGTCTTTTCATTCTCTTTCCTGAATTAGCTTTCTGGACAGCAGAGATTTGCTCTTGCAGCCCTAGACTTTGTTGTGAATTGTTCCTTCCCCAATAAAGTCTGTTTTCCCCAACTGCCCTGTGATTTATAGCCCAAACCCCTGTGTGTTCTCATGGTCCAAACATTTTCTCTCTTCACCTGCTGTCTTGTTGAAACACTGTTATTTGAATCTCAGCAACCTTCCCCATTCCCAAATAGCCCTTTGAGATGCAGTCTCCATTGGTTTTAGGTAATAGGTGAACTTTCTCTTTAAAAACTTTCTATTCATTATTGCTTCTTTTCTTTTGAAGACACCCTAGCAACATTTTAATTCCGTATTTTAAACAACTTAAGAGCCTGCTCTTTTTCCCTTGTTACTTCAGCATCAACAAATGTCTACAGTTTTTGGTAGTGTTTAGCCTCTAAAGGCTATCTAGTTTCTCACACTATCTTTCCATGTCTATCTTTTCACTTCTGTCTCTTTCCAGGACTTGAACTTCTGTTTAAATCCTGCTTCTGTGCCCAGAAACCTACCTATGTTGTTGTTATTGTTAAGTGCTACCAAGTCAGTTCCAACCTATAGTGACCCTGCATAGAGTTTCCAAGGAGCGGCTGGTGGGCTTGAACCTCTGACCTTGTGGTTCAATCCGACTTTGCAATTCAGCCCATTAACCTACAGCACCACACAATACTATTTCTCTCTGAGTCCCCAATTTTTCATCTAGAATAACTGCTGAGATGGTTTCTGTAATGATCAAACACAACAGTAAAGCACCAGTCACAAGTAAGCCCTCAAAAGTGGCCATTCTATTTTTGTCATGACATAAACTTGAACTTTTAACTCTTCTGAGTTAAAAGATTTCCATGAGCCCCTGGGTCTCATAGGTGAGGGTCAATGGGTTGCATATATTTTATTTTACATACTTACCATACTGCAGCATCGCCGGCAAATATATATTAGCTCTGTATATGGCCAGATAGAAAAAAACAATCAAACAACATATTTATTTTAATCCAAAGTGTTTAAAGAGGCACACAATATGTGTAAGAGGGATGGGGACAAGGAAGGAGTGATCAACACACCCACACAGCTTCTACCTACAAGCCTATGCAATCACACTTACTATCTGACAGAGAGGCACAGAGGGAATGACAAGAAAGATATCCCTGCTTTCATTATCCACTTCACTTGGGACATTGCATACAACCTCCTTTTCCTGGCCTCCACGCAGCAGCTTGCCAAGCACCCAGAACACAGGTTGGCTCTTTTCTCAACAGTGACGTTTCCTCCACTCCCTTCTCCAGGCCACTGGTCTCAACCCGACTTTACACGCCGATTGCCATGGCCTTGACCCGTGACCCTAAGGATGCATTGCTGTTTGTCTTATGTGACCTTGAGGAGGAAAGTTTCAAGACATTAAAGTTCTACCTGCAGAGCATAACCTTGCCTGATGGTCACTGGCAGTTGGCCCGAGGGAAGCTGAAAGGCCTGAGTCCGGTGGACCTGGCATCTCAACTCATTGACATATATGGAGCAAATGAGGCTGTGAACGTGGTGCTTAAGGGCTTGAAAAAGATGAACCTGTTAGAGCTTGTGGACCATCTCAGCCACGTTTGTCTGAATGGTGAGTACGGCAGAGGAGACAGGAATCCAGGATAACATTGGGGTCCTTTTCCACGGCATTTCCAGAGACCCCTTATAATTTATGCCTTTTCACATCCTTGCCCTCTCACATTGCCTGGGGAAGCACTGAGAACCTGGTTCAGCTGAGAACCATGTAGGTTCCTTTAGTTGCAAATAAACAAGAATCTTGATCGTATAAAACAAAATTTTGTTTTTGTTTTTGTTTTAGGAAGAACCTACTGGTTCTCAGCTATTGGGTGGAGGGCATGAGCTGAGGACAAGAACTTATTTATTGAAAGACTATAGTATCTAATGGTTAGGGTCCCCTGCCCTTCCATTCCCCACCCTGTTTCCATGGCCAGTTGTAGTGCCAGAGAAGGGACAAGTATGAAAAAGAGGCTTAGAGATCTAGGATGGCATTGGCAAAGACATTTTCACTAACCTAACCAGAAGAAATGGCATTAGGGTGTGTTGGGTCAAACCTTTCTAGTGCCTCTCCTGGCAGGCAACTCAGGCTATTTTTTTTATGGAGGATTATCTTCTCCCATGCCTTTGCTTGCTCAAAGAATAGTAGATTGATGTCACCCTGGAGAGTAGGGTGGGCATGGAGCCGAAATGACCTCTAATCCCTTTTGATGGAATATCAGGGGATCTATCTGTACCTGTGTTGCCTCCCACAGGACTCTTTTCCTCCTGAGAACTCCTATGATATAAAGAAATGGAAGGATTCAATATGCTCAACATCTGCTCTGAACCTCATTTATCTTGACATCTGGCCTGTCTTTTACCAAGAATGAGTTCCTATTATTTCATAATCTGCTAGCTTTCCATTTGCTCTCTTCTCTTGGTTTTGACCGCTTCAAATAGGGACATTTCACATGAACACTCAGTCACACATTATCGCATAGAGACTTTCACACTTATGTTTATAAACTTGTACTTACAGATACACACTAACACACTTCCCCTACACAAACATACACAGACTTTCCTAAGAACATTCCCATAAACTTATGGATACAAGCATTCACTCACACCTCCAAATATCCACATACACAAAACACCCTTACACACTCACATAGATGTACACATGTGCAACACATGTGGACACACACACGAAATTGGTTTATTCCATGAAGCCAGAATTATAATCTTTGGGGAATTACAACTTTGAGAAATTAGAAGATAGGTAAAATGATCAAATCAAGAGTTTGAAATGCCCATTTTTGTTTTTTGTTTTTCCATCTCACCGCCTAATACTCCACTTGTCTGGCTTAGATTACAGAGAAAGATACCGAGAGCATGTGCGCTACCTAGAGGAGAGGCAAGAAGGAGGAGTCAACGGCAGCTACAACCAGCTACTCCTGGTGGCCAAGTCCAGCTCAGGGTGCCCAGAGAAGGAGGTCACGGTGAATGATCTGTTTGGTTCAGGGGAAAGGTCCTCCAAGTCCACTGTAGTGCTTCAGGGGTCAGCTGGCACTGGAAAGACAACACTGGCAAGAAAAATAGTATTGGACTGGGCCAGTGGTACCCTGTTTGCAGGACAATTTGATTATGTCTTTTATGTGAGTTGCAGGGAAGTGGTGCTGCTGCCAGAGTGCACTCTTGATTTGCTCCTTTTCTGGTGTTGTGGGGACAATAAAGCACCAGTCAAGGAGATTTTGAGGCAGCCAGAGCGCCTCCTGTTTATCCTGGATGGCTTTGATGAATTACAGAGGCCCTTTGCCGAGAAACTGATGAGGCCAAGGTTGAGCCCCATGCAAGACCTGTTGCATCGTCTAATTAGGAGAAATATACTTTCGGAGTCCTTCCTTTTCATCACAACTAGACCCCTAGCTCTGCAAAATCTTGGGTGCTTGCTGCAGCAACCACACCATGTCCACATTGTAGGTTTCTCTGAGGAGGAGAGGAAAAGATATTTCAGGTTCTATTTCACAGATGAGGAGCAAGCCAGAAATGCCCTTGACTTTGTACAAAGAAATCAAGTTCTTTACAAAGCATGCCAGGTTCCAGGTATTTGCTGGGTGGTCTGCTCCTGGCTAAAGAAGCAGTTAGAAAGAGGCAAGGAAATCTCAGACATACCCAGTAACAGCACTGATATCTACATGGCCTATGTCTCCACCTTCTTGCCACCCAATGACAATGAGGACTGCTTGGAGCTTCCCCGCCACAAGGTCCTAAAGAGTTTGTGTTCTTTGGCAGCTGAGGGGATCCAGCACCAGAAGATTCTATTTGAGGAAGCTGACCTCAAAAAGTACAATTTAGATGGGCCCAAACTTGCTGCTTTCCTGAGTAGCAGTGATTACCAAGAAGGGCTTGATGTCAAGAAGTTCTACAGCTTCCGCCATATTAGCTTCCAGGAATTTTTTTATGCCATGTCCTACCTGGTGAAAGAGGACCACCACCCATTGGGGAAGGAGTCCCGTAGGGAATTGGAAAGACTGCTAGAGACAAAGAATGAGGATATGACCCTCAGCATGCAATTTTTACTGGACATGTTGAAATATGGCAGCTCCTCAAACTTAGAAGTAAAGTTTTGCTTCAAAATTTCTTCTTATGTAATTCAGGATCTGAAGCATTTTAAAAAACAACTGGAATCTGTAAGACATAATAGTACCTGGGATTTGGAATTCTCCCTTTATGAGTCTAAAATCAAGAACCTGGTAAAGGGTATTCAATGGAGTGACACATCAGTTGCACTGACATGTTCAAATGAAAAGGAAGTCCGCCAGAGATGCTCATTCAATGTTAAAACTTCCTTGAGAAACAGACAGGGAAAGGAGCCAAAGAATCTTCTTGAAGACAAAAACAAAAGAGCAGGGACACAGAAGGGAGATTCTGATGGCAAAGGCAGAGGGACAAAAGAACCAGAGACAAGGAAGTTAGGAGCAGTTGCATGTGGAAGCATAGAAATGGGGACAATAGAAGTAATGGGCCAGAGGAATGGTGGGGTGCAAGAGCAGGAAAATTGGAGTAAGACAGCAAAAAAGAATGGAAAAATGTGAGATCAGACTAATAGGTTCTAGAAGAGATGAAAGGACAGAGGGGAAAAAAAAAGGAAGAAAGAAAATTAGATATTTAGAGAGTTAGAAGATTTGAAACAACCACATTTGCCATTTATGGATCAAGTTAAATTATTTAGCTGTTTATAACTTTCTGGGATGCAGAATCCAGTTTTGTAATCCCTCTAGAATTGAGTTTTGAGTCTCTGAGTAAAATCCATATA